TGCGGCCATCTCACCGGGTAGGAGCAACCACTGCAGACAGCACTGGGTGAGCAGCCAGGCTCCCGTTTAAAGGTGGTGTCGTTAAACCCTCAGCGTGTTGGGTTTTTTTTTCTGGTGATGATGCTGCCAGTGCTCACAGGCTAGAGGGAGATCATCTGTACCCTGTGACTTTGAATTGCTCCTGCCTCCCCGAGGGAAGGATTATGTTCCCCGGAGCTGGGAAAGGTGAACATCCCCGACTTGTGCTCAGCATCCTCACTCCCTCCACAGCAACTGGAGACCTGAAATGGGTCTGAGATGTGGCAGTGACCTTTGGGTAAGGCTGATCTTGCTGTTAGCGCCAACCAGGGCAGGGCAGCTGAGCTGCTCATGCTGGAGGAGTGATGGCTGGGCACAGAGAGAAACCTTTCTTGTGGCTCCTGCGAGGACAGGCACAAGGTGAGGTGACAGCCCCAGCACCTGAAGACCTATTTATTCTACTAGGAGCTGCTAATGCAGTGACTCTCTTGTCTCCAGTCACCATGGGGGCAATGAGGAGCCAGCTACTAACAGGTTTTCCGGCTAGAAATCCTAATCCCACCCCAGCTTCCTATAAGCCAGGAGACCTCCTGTGCTCAGCCTCCTCTGTGGCACGCAAGGGATTCAGAGACGGATTTGGCTCCAAGAGTTCTCAGATCTCCCTACGGACAGATCATTTGAGAGAAATCCCAAAATAAATCCATGGGGAATATCTTCCACTGGCAAATGCAAATGCTCCAGCACCATGGCCCTGCTGGTACCCAAAAACTCAGCAGCTCGTAGCTGGTCTCTCCCTCAGCAGATGGCAAAGAGATACGAGCTCAGCCTGTGAAACAGGAGCAACGGGGCTACAGTGGGCAAGGGGTACACAGACCACAGACACACTCATGGACAAGGGCACTGTGCAGTCAACCAGTTAATCCCATTTATTGTTTCCAATACAAATGAAGTACTGCTCTCCAGCAATGGTCCCACCGTGTAAGGCTTTTGGTCTGTAACATCTGTCTCTGTTTACAAAATCCCTGACCTCAAAAACAACTGCCCTGTGCTGTTCTGTAATGGCACTTTGGTTATCTGGGCTTTAATGAATGACCTTTATGAACAAGGCAGAGCACATCCCTCCACAGATCAAGAAAATCCCCTCTAAATCTTCAAATCCCATTAACAAAATTATTGCACAAACAATGTGACCAAGACACACTGTCCCACCCTGCTGTCCACAGGGAAACCCAAGCAAAGCCCAGTTCCTACCGGACACCACTTAAACATCTCCCCGTTTAGGAGCCACAAATGCACGTGGCAATGCTGGTGCAGAGCAGGACAGAGATCTTCCTGAGCCTGGGGTTCCCTCCTAGTATTTATGGCATATTTCTCTGTATTGCAGCCATCTTCTGAGGGTGAGAGTGTTCAAAAGGAATTTCTACAGAATCAATATGGAATTAAATGGAAAAGAGATATCAGTTTAACACCAAAAAGAAGGAAAAGAAAACCGAAGACATGAACTGTGAACATTCAGAAGACAGAAGCTACTCTTCCCCAGCAGGCTAAGATACTTCTCAAAGGGCTTTATCTGCACTTGGCACGAGTGACTGCCAAGGAGGGAGGCCAGCAGGTTATATCCACTGCCGTCAGCACAAGATAAAGCCAAAACCTTTAAAGACAAACACCAACCTTTAACAAAACACAAAGAACAGACAACAACCTAGAGCATCTAATCAACACCCGAGAAGCTTGGAGAACCTCAACAGCCATTTGCAAAGCTTTCCAAAAAACGTTCCTCATTCTGCTCAGGAAAATCAGAGGGAAAAGGATGGCCAGCCATCCTAGATGGTGCCTAAGCCTTGCGCTTCTTCGCAGCCGGCTCCCCCTCCTTCCCCAGCCACTGCTGCAGGATGTTTGCGCTGCTTTTCTTGGGAGAAGGGCTGTGGATGAACTGACTTGTCCACCTGGGCAATTCATTTTCTTTCTTCTGAGGAGAGCCTTCCTGGGAGTTTTTTAACCAGCCCAGCATCACTTTGTTGCTTGGGGTGGCTTTGATCTCCTGGAGAGACAAAAGACAGTGGGAGAGAAGTCAGAATCACAGCGAGAGCAGGGCAGGCAGCAGACTCTGACAGCTGGTCCAGAGCAGGATGTGGAGGCTGGAGCCACGGCCCTGCCTGCGACCAGGAACATCTGTGGGAGGTTCCCCAGGCTGCTGGGAACAGGCTTCTTGTTCCAAGCCCTGTTTCACATGGAATTTGCTTCATTTGGCAGAGGAATCCTGGCACAGGGTGACAGTTTATTTCTGGAAGTGGAGGGAGGGGAATCCGTTCAAGGCTCTGCACTCCAGCATCAAGCACAGGCAAGCCCCGCAGATGCTGCTGCTGCTGCCCCTCCTGCAGCCTGGCAGCACTGTCCCTGCACAGGGATGTCACCATGGCCAAGCTCTCCCCTGACAAACCCCCACCAGCCCTCACCTTCTTGGCTCCCAGTTCAATGGGTGCAAGACACTCGGGTGTGTTGTTGCGGACGCTGTTGACAAAGGTGGACACTGGGTGGAAAACGATGTTCTCTGTGGGCTGGATGAGTTTAACTGCTTCTTGTGTTGGCACTTCAGCAAAGTCCAGCCATTTCCTGATGGCCTCGTCCCCATCCAGGATGGCTGGCATCCTAGAGGACAAGACAGTCAAAGCCAAAACCCAGCGCTGATATGGCAGAGCAGGGTGGCAAAAGCCAGGCCTGTAAGCTAGCAAGGAGCTGGCAGCTCAGGGGGAAACAGGGAAAACTGAAGCTGCAGGTTGTTCCTCTGCAGGGCAGAGCGTGGATTCACTCTGCCCAGGTAGCTGCTTTGCTGGGAGGGGTGGAGGGGTTAACTACCAGGCTCTGGTCAGGCTGAGAGTGATCCAGCTGCAGAGAGTGATGCAACTCCCACTGCCACCCGTCTGGGCACAAAGATGATGATTTATGGAAAGGGCACGAGCCAGTGACCCGAAACGAGCCAGTAATGTAGCGTTTGTCTCCGAGGGCATCAGGAGGAAGCAGGGCTCCCTGTCTGCGTGCTGCCAGACTGGCCTTTAAAGGCACAACTTACTTCCCTTGCCCCTCACTGCCCTGCAGCCCCCCTGCCAGCTCTCACTTGCCTGTGATGGATGAAGCTCACGTCCTTGGAGGCATCCACGGTGATGATGGTGTAAGTGTACAGCATTTCTCCTCCCGCCGGTGGTTCCCAACAGTCAAAAATCCCAGCCATGGTGAGCAACCTCCATCCTCTCCATTCCTCATCTCCCTCCTTCCCCTCATCCTGCAGGAGAGAGGCCCCATTGCCCTGCTCAGTGCCAACCCGTGGCCAGCCAAAGCATTTGAGACTTGCCAGTGCTGCAGGTCAATGACTCAGATCTAAGTCATGAACTGAACTAATCTGAGGGCTTTCCAGGAGCCATTCTACTAATTTGAGGTAACTCCAGGAGAGGTACCAGGAGCCTCATCTTCCCACAGGCAAGCCAGCGCCCTCCTCTCCTGCTCAACATCCCAGCCACTAGCTCAGCTGAAGGAAAGAGGAAGCAAAACTCCCAGCCCAGCTCCCTGTGAGACACATTGCCCACCCATGCAAATATCCGGCATGCGGGGAGCAGTGAGCGTGACGGCGGGGGATGCTGTGTCACCATTTACAGCCAGGGGACCGCAGTGGTGGGGACCGCTGGCCGCAGAGGGATGCCAGGGTGCTGAGCCCACCACAGAACTGAGCCCCGTTGGGAAACAGAGACCCCAGAGACAGGCACAGCTGGAGGGAAGGGGGCTTTTCCCAGGGCAGCTGGAGGGAGCAGGGGCTCAGAGCTGGGTGTGAGCGCTCGGACACGGCGAGGGATTCATGTACCACAGTGTCCTTGGTCTGGGGGAAGTAAATGAAATAGGGTTGCTTCCCCCCACTCTGCTGCTGCCACTCGTAGAAGCCATCTGCCAGGACCACGCAGCGCTTGCCCTTGAGGAGAGCACCCTGGGGGAGAGAAAGCACAAGCGATCCGTGAACAGCGGCCTTGGGCAGCCTGCGAGGGAGGAGGGGGCTGCTGGGACCACCCAGCCCATGCGTTTCCTCTCAGGGCTCCCCAGAACTGTGCCACGGGGTGCACAAATGCCACCACCCAGCGTTGTGATGGGAGATGAGCTTCACTGGCAACAAGCTTTTCAGTTCTATTTTAATGAAATCTGCCAGCTCTGCAGTACAGAGACTCATTTAGGAGGAGCCTCACCTGTGCAGCAGGCAAACAGTGGCCGGTACTCACTATGAAGGTGCTTCAGCTCTGGTTTTGCTGACTACAAGATCTCTTCAGGCTGGCCAAGAAAAGAGCATCAACTCACCTTGTAGGAGGACTTCTTCAGCATGGTATCGCTGCGGCAGTTGGAGGTATTAAACGGCATTTTGGAGGGGTCATCCTTTTTGAACCAGGAGGGAACCAGGCCCCAGCGCATGTCCATGAGGACCCGCTCGGAGGAGTCAGCATCCTTTCGAACAAGACAGAGAAACACCTCAGGTCAGAGCCACGTTGCAGGGACCACAAGCATCCCCACAGCTTGACAGAGGGGCCTCGCAGAGCCTGGTGAAAGGGGCTTCTCTCCCTGCAAGGGGGGGTGAACAGGTCAGTGTCTCTGCAGAGAGCTGAGCTGGGGCTCACAGATCCTCCAGCACCAAATCTGCCTCTGCTCTCTCAAGCCGTGCAGAAATAGCCACTAATTATAACCCTGTGCAAATTCTTAACAGCTTTCCTGTAAGAATTAATCTTTAGTAGAAAGCACAAGACTATTTTTCAGGAATAAACAACTCGGTGAGGCTTGCCCGATGCCTTCCTGGAGGAATGCACACAGTTGTTTTCCAATGGGAAGTGCCTGGACACGTGAGCTCCCCAGCTCTTATGTAAACAGTCACGTCAGGCTGGCGTTGAGGTTCTCAAAACTTTCCCCATTAAAGCGAGGATCCCACAGCGTGTCAGCCTCACCTTCATTTTAATAACGTGATTTCTGCTGACCTGCTTCACTTTCACTCCTTGTGCTTTGCATATCCTCTGCTCTTGGACAATGGAAACGGCATGTGGCTTTCACTTCTCCCCCAGCTCGCTCTCGATTTCTGCCCGCAGCTGCCAGCCCCAGGCAGTGCGTAGCTGGGGCGAGCGGGGCCCTGGGGGCATCTGCTGCCAAAGAACTGCAGCAGATACACGTATATAGCTACTATAGGTGTGTATATGCATGTGCCCTGTTTTGTGAAGTCTTCCAGAGCCTCCCACAGATGAGAAGTGGCAAAAAGGGGCACCTTACCCTGCACCCATGTCCCAATAGCTGAATAGAGACGCACGAGCAGGCAGGTGCCTGCCTGGGATCTGTATCACACTCCCAACCCTGTGTTCCTCTGTTCCACCAGCTTATCGGCTGCTCTCGGAGGGACCCGGGACCCCAAGGCAGGAAAAGAGGGTACAAAGGATGGATGCCTGATGGCATCGTCCATGGCACTCCAAAGTGGCCCCATTGAGGCATCCTGCC